CTATTATTAGATTGATGATAAATGTGTCTACTTGTGTGAGCCCTGCAAATGTTTAGCAACTGTATTTTAGAGCCTTGAATATTAACAATGATAACATGATAATAGTAAAGATGACAAAAGACATGACAATGTATTTTTTATGCATGAAGATAAAAAGCAAACTACATATACAACTGATAGTATTATAATCATCATTATCATCATCATCAGCATCTTCATCGTCAGTTTAACAAAGATATTATTATTAGCATTTAGATCACATTATCAATTGGTTGGTTTAAAGCTCAATTAGGGAGTTAAATTGTTAACAATGAAGAGACACAAATTAAATCAACCCAATCTCATCCGGGAATCTCACTAATACTATTAACAGGTAAAAGGAGACAAGGGGAAGAGGTTAGGAAGATAAAGAAGATAAAAAAAAAGGTAAGCTTTAAGTTCATTCAAGTAGTTGGAATACACTTACGGTTCTTTTAATCATTTCTTTATTTTTCTCTTTCTTTACCTTTCGTCCTCATCATCCTAATCATCATCTTCTCATCTTGCACAAGATAACACATTGTATTCATTATTATGTGTATTTGTATGGGCACAAATAGTTACTATAGTAAAATGCTGAATATTGTACTTGGATAGACGAGGGTATTCATTGTAAGTTATTAGAGTATATCATTGATTAGTATGAAAGGTAAATTGTCATAGAAAAATTTATGAACTCACAAGAATAAGTCAATTAGGTTAAATTGTTAATTTCAACATTTCTCATCCTTTTACTACGATTAATTCAACTGATAGTAATTTGACAGAGTTATAATGAAGATGATTATCATAATGATCATGATCACATATCATGTAGATTTAAACAGCTTAACTTTTTGGTTACTTGATTAACTTAATCAACTAAAGGTAAATGCGATAATCGTTGGACATTGTATTCACCCATAGTTATCAATTGATCTTATGGATACATTTTTAAATATCCTTAATTTTCTGATTGTTGTCATTCATTGACATATAATAGATTGTAAAGAAAAAAGGTAAATTCAAAGTTTCCGTTGACTTTGATAATACAATTTACCTATGGAAAAGGTCAAGAGCTTTTCTATTAGCTTACTACTGTTTTCTTTTGCTGCAAAACAAAACAATCACTTCCGTTTCCTTATATCTTGGACTTTATATTACATATGGATACAAAAAATACTCTTATTGTCATTTATTATTACAATTGCAAGGACAAAACGACTACATCAAGTATTTATTATTATTATATTCAATTGATGAGGATAACAAATATTGTATTTAAATTGTTGTTGAAGTTTATTTTCATCTCATGCAAATTGTGTTAATGTTTTCACTTTAGTTGTTGATGTTATTTAAAAGTATCATTGACACACCTTTGATTATCTCGTTTAAATATTCAAATTTTGTGTGCTGATTGAGAAAAAAATTTATAAACAAAGTGACCAATGGCCGAAAAGTTATTTATTTACTGGAAAATATTGACTATATAGCTAATTAAAGTGAATCAATTAATTGACCATGAAACCGATGTTTGTACAAGATTTTGCTTTGATTGTTGTCTTAAGATGTATTGATTACAAGTAGTGGTCAAGTTAAAGTGAAACCTTTTGACCACTATCATAATCAATGACCCTTTTATACTTGATGGGAATCAAGAAAATCGGACAATAGGACATGAGAATTAATTTTGTTTCAAATTGTCCGAATGGTTTAATGATTGGACACTTTGTTTGTGTACAATTTCAGGTCTAAATTCAATCAATAGGAGAACAGTTGAAAAGCCATCGAAAGTAATAACAACAATAATAATGATGATGATGATGAAAGAGTGAGAGAGAAAAAAAAAACTTGATGACAATAATATAAATGAAAACGAATCGACAGAAAATAATATCAACCTCTTATCTGAAAGGAAAATGTGACAAAATCAAGTCTCTTATGTGTAGTTATTATTATCAACTTCGAATGATACTTGAAAATGTTACAACAAAAAGAAAACTTCCTTCGAGTTCTGAGTGTCGAGAATTTTTGTAAGTTCGTAATGTGATTCATGTCAAATACAGTTGAGAAATCGAGATGATATATTATACATGGAACTATGTGCTGATGATGGTAAAGAGGAAAAGGAAATGATGAGAATAAGTAGAGTAGAAAAAAAGTTCGACCTTACATATTATTTATATGGTAAATTTGTATCAACAGTTTTACCAATTGAATTATTTTCAAGTAACAACATCAACACGATTTTAATAATATTAATCATATTGTATCATTAATTTGAGAACCAGCTCAACAATTTAGCTATGGTTGACATTGGCAAAGTTAAATTGAATGGTTACACTTTCAGAGAGAGTGAATCATTTTATCATCACTATGATAATATGTAAATGACTTTCTATGATAATCTGTTATTAACATTGGCACATAATATGACCACAGGCGCTTAAACGGTTAGGGAAGTGGAAAGGGAAAACTAAAAAAGTTATCCAATAGTTGATAGATAATATCAAATGAGATTAGTGATGGTTTTCAAAAGCAAATACATTTATCTCAATGAAAATCTTGATGTGATTATGGTAAATGCTTTCATAATGATATCTAATGTTTGGATACAGATTAGCATCGAGTTAGATGAATTACATTTTCGAAACAATTTATGAATAAAGTTGATTAACTTTTTTTCTCTTCTACTATTGAGTGGAAACAAGATTCTATCGTTTTTTTTAATATCTTCTTGGAATATTTGAATTCTGTGATGATGAAAAAGGTTTTCTAAAATAAAGTAAATAAAATATTCAACTGACAGGAAGATTAATCAACTTTTCATTAACAATTAATGATCAAAGAGCTTGTGTTTGTATTAAATGATAGCGATAAGCTTGAGATATATTTTCTTAATGGATTATTAATATTTTATGCTGATAACTTTGTGTTAATCTGTATTGGGTTTTAATTGTAGTCATTGATTTTAAATACTCGTGGGATTAAGTTTGACTTTTGAATTGAATTAGATTAATACTGTGTCTCTTACCTGGTGTATTGTTATGAGTTGGACTAGATGGTTCTTGGCTCTTTACTCCGGTTGTGTTTCTTACATGAAGATCCATGGGCTCTTTTTTACATGAAGACTTCTTTTCTTTACGATTCACTTTGGTTCCATTTGATGATTCATTCTGATTTTCTTCATCGCCATTTGATTTACTATTATTTGCCTAAAGAGAGAGAGAGAGTAATTGTTATTAGGATGATTAGATGAGTTTCTCTGGTCGGTTTCTTTTTCTTTTGTGTTTAAACTCACTGGTACTTGGATGATCTGGGCCATTGCGGCGGAAAATGTTAGTCCCGCTCGGTGCATGGCCATTATACCTTCGTGGCAGCCATACAGCATTGATAATTCTCGAGCTTCGTTTTCTTCTTGGGCCTGTTGCCGTCGAAGAGCAACCTGAGCGGCCATAACTCGCTGACGTTCAGCAATAAGAGTACATTTTGCACAAGAACAATCTTTCCATCGACAATAACGTTTGTGTCCCTTGGATAGAAATCATTTCACGAATTAGGATTTGTCTCTTTTTTAGCTCACTCGATAAAATAAACTATTCTTACCTTTAAAGCTGAGACAACTCCATGGTTTCGACATCGAGCACATTTAGGTGTACGTTGATATCTTTCAGCGGCAGATCTAAGCAACAAAGCCGATGGACTTGCCGTTGAACTGGACTTGTGGGTGATGAACTATCCATTATTCAAATTGATAACTGTTACAGATTTGAAAGCTGAAAATTACTTAGATTTGAAACTTTTTCGTATATTAAAAAATTTTGATAATCACAAAACTTAAAAGTTAAAATAAAGCAAATTTAATCATAAGATGATAACTATATGGATGAAAAAACACTTTAATCACAATTAAATGTTTTCACTTCGACGGGACATTTGCAAGTAACTATAAGAGATAAATATTGAATGGAATACACAAATTTTGTTTGATCGAAACTTATTTTCATCTATGAGAATACTAGAGAAAGTAATAGTGGCAATAGCGAGAGAGAGAGAGAGAGAGAGAGAGAGAGAGAGAGAGAGAGAGAGAGATATTTACTCTCGAAATAATATCATATACTCTATCATTGTTATTACTTCAATAGAATATTATTATTCGATGAAAATGGTGATGCGCGAAAAAAGAACCAATCATATTTGGACATTCGAGTTATATTGTTAGAACATGATTCTCATTGGCTAAGAAGACAACAGTAACTATTACTTCAACTGTAGCAATTATCATTTTAAATAAACATTCGAAAATCAATCCGATCGCAATTAATTAACCAATCTAATCCACTTCACCAAAAATAATCGCCCAACAACTTTCACGGTCTAAAATCACTATTATATTACAGCATTTCTCAGTGACTTTCGCCGAGTTCTAGTTCGAGAACTAATTAATCGAGTTCTCATTTGGTTTAGTCAATCCAATAGATGGCACATTTTTCACGATGAGTTTTCATTGACTTTCGGAAGTTCTCAATTCATTTGGTCAAGTTCTCGATGAGTTTAGCCAATTAGCCTTTACATTGAGTAAAAAATTAAACTTTTCCAATTCAATTCATTTTTAATTATTTTTTTACCTTTTGAAACAAAGACTATTATAGGGATTGATTTTTATTCATTAATTTTGCTATGATTTTCACAGTTAATTGTTGATTAATTACGTCAACAATTGATTCTCATTTGTTTTCCCAAATTTAATCAAAAGGCAAAACACTAAAGAAATTTGATTGATAAATATTTAATCATTCCGATACTTTTTTTACTCTATTAACAGATAATCTGTAACATTAATTAATTTATCTTTATTAAAATGATTTACTAATCAAATTTAATTTCTAAAAAGTGAAAACAATCAAACTGATTAAATCAATTGATTGTTAACCTTTTACTCTTTTGAAATGAGCGCTTAATGTTCACCCAACTTGTTGTCATGGTTACGGTTGCTGTTTGTTTTTCTGAGTTCATGTTGACAATTTAATTTGATTTTCTTTCGTTTTAATTGTTTAATTATTGGTTTTGTTTTGTTTGTTTCTTCATTTTTACAGAAATGTCTCTTTTGATGGGAAAGGTGTGCGAAGCTGTGGGCAAGAATATTGTTCGTGTTGCTATTCCTCAATTGAAGTTCGATTCATTTCTTGTTACTCATTTCAGAGATTCAAGTGAATTACATGCGTTGGATAAAAAAGGAGAGTCAAAGGTTGGCGATTGGGTGATTGTCTCTAAATTACCAGAGAGGATCAGTTTAAAGGTCGAACATTCTGTTGAACAAGTGGTCTATAAGTGTGGGCACATAATCGATCCATTAACGGGCAAACGATGTTTCCAATACCATTACGATGAAAGTGGTTCAAAAGAAAATCAAAATTCTAGTCCAAATGAAAAACTGTAGAGGGAACGATTTAAACTTATTGATTAAAATCATTGGAATCGTTTGAATATCATCCTGGCGTCTTCATCTCTCGGTGCTGCAACATTAGGTTATCATATAGCCGAAGATAGATTAACATCAATAGAAATTCGTGATTTATTACGAAAAGAATTAGATGAAAGAGTAATGGACCAATAGCAGGCCAAACAACTACATCACCATAACCATTACACCAAAGAAATTTACAACAAGCTTATCCTCATCACCAATTAAAGGTTAATCGGGTGATGGATCCTCAGATTCAAATTAGAATTGGGGTGAAACCTTTGGTCTTCCTCCGAGGATCCTTCTTGCACCGGGTGGTTACCATGATCCTAATTCACCTTCATCATACCAACAACTGATAATAGGAATAAAATAAATTATTTTAAATAATTAACAATTGACAACTAAAACATCAACTAGTCAATCAAAAACTTATGAGCTGAACTGGATGATTCCTGGTTCTTTACCCCGGTTGTGATTCTTACATAAAGATTGTTTGATTGATAAGATTTGAAACTTTTTTTCTTCGTTAGAAAAGTTTGACAATCACAAAACTTTAAAGTTAAAATAATGAAAAGTTCAATATAAGACGATAACTTTATGGGTGCAAAAATACTCTGATCACAATTAAATGTTTTCAAGAATTAGTAAGTAGAAGTTAATCAGTATCAGAAGAAGAAGAAGAAGAAGAAGAAGAAGAAGAAGAAGAAGAAGAAGAAGAAGAACTGCAATTATCAATTTCGCAAAGACTTTTTTTCTTGATTTCTTCAGCTTTTCGCTGTTGTTTGATCAATCTTTCGATTGTTCGTCGTTTAGCCGAAACCAGTTTGTGAGAGAACCAATCCTCTAGATTAATAGCCGGGTCTTTGTAAATTCTTTCAAGTAGCTGTTCAGGATTCTGAAAATGATCAACGAATGATACGAATTAATTTATGTCAGCAACAATAAAAAGTTAACTCGAAAGAATTAACAAATTAACTTACTCTTAGGAAATTCTCAATAGATTGTAGTACATAGAGACCTGAGTCGAAGTGATTTGTTTGTTTAGGCACCTTGAGATAAATATCAGGCATTACCCTTCTACTAAAATTTTTCTTCGTCGTTTTCTCTGACTCCCATTCCTTAGCTAGAAAGTGTCGTAATGGTGCAGCTAATCCACATTTATGATGAGCACTTTGAAGTGAATCTAAGAAAAGTATTCGAGGTCTAGAGAAAGAGATATAAAGTAATGAGTTTCAAAACTGATGATGAATAAAATAAATCTAATACTTTTTAGCACTTTTCTCATTGAATGCAACTTCGTCCAGGAGAGGAACTTTTCTTGGATAACAAATGATTGCCAGAAACCAATGAAAGGATTTATGAATTGGTATAATTAGAAAGTCCTTTTCGAAAATGTTCACATTTTTTGTCCAATTCTTTACTCTATTGTAGTAACTATCAGAAAGCCTGAAACCAAAAGGATCGAGTTACTAAAACTGATTATCATTTTATTCACTGTTGACTTATTACAGTTGAAAAAGAGAACCTTCGAAGAAAAAGCTCGATCAACAGTACATAAGTCATCAGGAATGAGAATTCAACTCGTACGTACGTTTTTGCACCCTGGGTTCTAACCTCTGATATTTGAGGTTTATGGGTGAGATTGTAGTAAAAAGATGAACTGAAAATGTAGCATCTTTCGGCGATATCTGGGGATGTCAAGTCTTTTTCAATATACCTATGAATCGAAGATAATGTGATGAGTATTAGTAAAAGATTAAGCCTATGATTAATGTTCAACGATAAAAATGGCTTACTTAAGATAGAAACCCAGGATTGCATCATTTATTTGTTGCCCTTCCTCCAAACAAGCGAGATCCGACTGACGAATTGAGATATGTTCAACTTCGTAAATGGGAATAGGTGGATAACTAAAGAGACGATCGTCACTAGATAAAGAGAGGATTATTATATAAATTATTAATACACAATAAGAGCGATCACCAAAAAGCTAACAAAACTCATCACCGCTCAATTGTGATCTAGAATAAATTACCAATTTGATACTGCGGCATTTGAGTTTCCAATTTCATCTTCACTGTTCATCTCAACAATGGAGGTCGTTTCATCTATTTTCGAATTCGAGGTCTTCTTTTTACTCTTAGCCAATTTAGGAGGAAAAGGTGATTTAAAAGTGGATGAAGACGTGGATGATGTTGCTGTCGGTTGTTGAGAAGAGTTATTTAATAAATCGAAGTATTGATGAGCACTAACAGATAGATTTCTATCAAGTTTCCAAGTGACAGTATTAAAGATGGCGAAATACTCTTCCAATATATTTCGAATTTCTTCATTCTTTCCGTTCAATTGCACTGCCACACGAATGGTTCCTTCTGTCACAATTAGAACCAAAATTGGTAAGAATATTTGTATTTCTTATATTCTATGTGTATGAGTTGCTAAAGTGAATAAGAATTGAACAAAGAATAATGAAATAGATACATACCTTGATTCCGTTGTATTTGTAAGGCTTCGCATATTTTGAAACTCGAACTTGGAACGGTTTCTATGATCAGGGTTAAAAATTCTGTTCTATCGAAATAGGCTCTTTGTATATCAATGGGTGGAATGGTAATAGCCAAACTCGGTCTTTCTGGTGCAGATACTTGAACAAACTTAATACCTTTTGAGATTAAATGAATCTCTTTACAGGTGAATTTATAAATGCCGAAGTAGACAGAATTGTTGTGAACTGATAAAGTTTGATTAATCTCCATGTTAAACACTGAATTGTCGTAATTTGGACTTGAAACATTCGTTTTTCGTGTTGATGATTGTTGAGAATGATTGTTTAAGAAATCAAGGTATTTATGGACACTTCGAGATAAAACTTTCTCAAATTTCCAAGTCAATGAAGTATAGCACGAAAAATATTCATCCAATATTTTGTAAATTTCTTCACCTTGTCCGCTAAATTGAAAAAGAACACGAATGGGTCCTCCTGGTTGAATTGAAAAGAAAATCACAATCACAAAATTAGAGAAAATAAAAGCAAACAAGAGAAAGAATTTGAAACAAAGAAACAATGGTGATATTAAAAAAAAGCTCTTTATCATTAAAGTTAAAGGTAAGAGAAATACCTGAGCTATCGTCTTGATTGGGTCTTATTTTCAATGCGCTCCTTATTTTAGTTCCAGATTGAGGAACGGTGTCAATTATCAGGGTTGACAAATTTTCACCGGTTTTACTGTCCAAATAGGCCTTTTGTATTTCAATTGGTGGAATGGTGATGTCGAAACGAGATCTTTCTTGTAATCGGCCAACTTGGGAAAACTTAAAGCCTGCTGAAATTAAACGAATTTCATCACAGCAAAACTTATGAATACCGAAGTAGACGATGTTATTGTAAATCGACAAATTTGGAAAAACAGACATTAGACTTCAAATCGTCTTTAAGACAATGTCTTATAAGAATGACTGTTTGAAACAACACAAAGAAGCAATTTTCTACAAGAAAATCTCAAGGAAAACAAGTTGAGAGGGAAGAACGAGTTCCAAAAAAATCCAACTCATTGATGAAAGTTGAGCCTGCAGAAGTGATTAAAGAGTGTAACGTAAGGGTGATTAATCCTGCAAATAATTAGCGGTTAGTTTGATTTTCCAAAAAAGATCAGTTTAAAGGTCGAACATTCATACTCTCTTCAACTTCTGCTTTAAACATTATCTCCAGCGTTGGATTGGCGTATAAAAATAGATCACGATTGATTAATCAGTAACAAATTTAGTTGAATTTTAATTTTTGATCAACAATATGGTTGCTATCACAGTCATTGACTTACAGCCATTGAAAATATTCAACTACTCACTGGCTGAGGATTCTGAACGGATGGATTTACACTCAAAGCAATTGAATCAAACAAATAAACTTGTCAATAACGAAGATAATTTTAAGATAGTTTCGTTTACAGTAACAACTATTAGTTAACGAGATTATAACAATATTATGATGTTAACTGATTAACGATTGAATATGTATTATTCCCCTTTCGTTTTGCTTGTCAATGGGTTGATTTTTGTTTGGGAAGAGTTTTGGAAATTCATGATAAACAGAGTATATAAATGAAAGAAATGGTCATGAAAGAATCTCTGGAATTTTGATGTACTCATTTAGGTGCAGTTGATTCATAAAAAATTAGTAAATAGAAATTTCGGAATCAGCAGAAGAATAAGAGCTAGAAGAAGAAGAAGAAGAAGAAGAAGAAATTTCATCATCCGTTTCGCAAAGACTATTTTTCTTGATTTCTTCAGCTTTTCGCTGTTGTTTAATCAATCTTTCAATAGTTCGTCGTTTAGCCGAAACCAGTCTGTGAGAGAACCAATCCTCTAGATTAATAGCCGGGTCTTTGGAAACTTTGTCAAGTAAATGATCAGGATTCTGGAAATAATCAACAATGAATGAATTAATTTAGGTTGCAAACAAGAAAAAGTTAATTCAACTTTAAAATTAACTTACTCTTAGGAAATTCTCAATGCATTGTAGTACATAGAGACCTGAGTCGAAGTCATTGTTTTGCTTAGGCACCTTGAGATAAATATCAGGCATTACACTTCTACTAAAACTTTTCTTTGTCGTTTTCTTTGACTCCCATTCCTTAGCTAGAAAGTGTCGTAATGGTGCAGCTAATCCACATCTACTATGAGCACTTTGCGTCGAGTCCATGAAAAGTATACGAGGCCTAAAAAGATCCGAAATTTCAGGATAAGATATCATTGAATTAGACATGAATTTCAAAACTGTTGATGAATAAAATAAATCTAATACCTTTTAGCACTTTTCTCATTGAATGCAACTTCGTCCAGGAGAGGAACTTTTCTTGGATAACAAATGATTGCCAGAAACCAATGACAGGATTTATGAATTGGTATAATTAGAAAGTCCTTTTCGAAAATGTTCACATTTTTTGTCCAATTCTTTACTCTATTGTAGTATCTATCAGAAAGCCTGAAAATATTGGAGAGTGGATAGATTAAAATTGGATAGAAAAATGAAGAATGAACAATTTTTAAGCACGATAACACAAATGACAGAGTTGCTGAAATTAATTATCATTTAAGCTACCGTTAAAATAGCGAACCTTCAAAGAAAAGACTCGATCAACAGTAAATACATGTAAGTCAACAAGTATAAGAGTTTAAATCGTACGTACGATTTTTGCCCTGCGTTCCAACCTCCGATGATCGAGGTTTATGGGTGAGATTGTAGTAAAAGATGAACTGAAAATGTAGCATCTTTCGGCGATATCTGGGGATGTCAAGTCTTTTTCAATATACCTATGAATCGAAGATAATGTGATGAGCATTAGTAAAAGATTAAGCCTATGATTAATGTTCAACGATAACAATGGCTTACTTAAGATAGAAACCCAGGATTGCATCATTTATTTGTTGCCCTTCCTCCAAACAAGCGAGATCCGACTGACGAATTGAGATATGTTCAACTTCGTAAATGGGAATAGGTGGATAACTGAAGAGACGATCGTCACTAGATAAAGAGAGGATTATTATATAAATTATTAATACACAAAAGAGCGATCACAAAAGCTAACAAAACTCATCACCGCTCAATTGTGATCTAGAATAAATTACCGATTTGATACTGCGGCATTTGAGTTTCCAATTTCATGTTCACTGTTCATCTCAACAATTGAGGTCGTTTCATCTATTTTCGAATTCGAAGTCTTCTTTTTACTCTTAGCCAACAGAGTGGAAAAAAGAGTACAAGGTGATTTAAGAGCGGATGAAGACGTTGAAGATTTTGCTGTCGGTTGTTGAGAAGAGTTATTTAATAAATCGAAGTATTGATGAGCACTAACAGATAGATTTCTATCAAGTTTCCAAGTGACAGTATTGAAGGTGGCGAAATACTCTTCCAATAGATTTCGAATTTCTTCATTCTTTCCGTTCAATTGCACTGCCACACGAATGGTTCCTTCTGTCACAATTAGAATCAAAAAACGTATAAAGTGGTAAGAAGGTAAGTAGCTTTAGATATGTTTAGGGAAAGAACAATTAAAGCTAAGTATTTATTATCTACCATCAAGTCTATGAGATTCGTAGAGTGAATAAGAATTGAATAACGCAAAGAATAATGAAACAGATACATACCCATGTGATCACCTTTATTCCGTTGTATTTTTAATGCTTCGCATATTTTGAAACTCGAACTTGGAACGGTTTCTATGATCAGGGTTGACAAATTTTCACCAGTTTTCCTATCAAAATAGAGTTTTTGTATATCAATTGGAGAAATGGTAATAGCCAAACTCGGTCTTTCTGGTGCAGATACTTGAACAAACTTAATACCTTTTGAGATTAAATGAATCTCTTTACAGGTGAATTTATGAACACCAAAGTAGACAAATTGTTGTGAACTGATAAAGTTTGATTAACTCCATGTTAAAACTGAATTGTCGTAATTTGTACTTGAAACATTCGTTTTTCGTGTTGATGATTGTTGAGAATGATTGTTCAAGAAATCAAGGTATTTATGGACACTTCGCGATAGGGCTCTCTCAAGTTTCCAATTCACTTGGCTAAAGACGGCAAAATATTCTTCCAATATTTTGTAAATTTCTTCACCTTGTCCGTTAAATTGAACAAGAACACGAATCGATCCTCTTAGTTCAACTGAGAAGAAAAAAAAACAGAGTAGAAAATTAGTATAACAAAGCGATGAGATAAAAGATAGAACACAAACAAAAGAAAAGCTAAAACCACTCCAGATAAATTATATCCCGAGAATTGTATTACAATTAAGGGGAAGACAAAAAAATGAGCAGTTAATTGCTAAATGGGCGTAAACATACGAGACATTAATTGTGATAGAAAAAAAAACAAAAGTCAAGTGGGAAGTGACAGTTCACCGAGATAAACTGTGGTGGAACAAAAATTAGATAATAACCAAAATATCACTTTGGTGATATTAATAAGAGAGAAATACCTGAATTAGCAGATCGATTAAGTTTTAATATTTCACATATTCGAATCCCAGATTCAGGAACAGTTTCTGTGATCAGGGTTGACAAATTGTCTCCAGTTTTACTGTCAAAATAGGCTTTTTTTATATCAATTGGTGGAATGGTGACATTGAAAAAAGACTTTTCTTGGATTTGACACACTTGGGAAAACTTAATGCCCGCTGGAAGCAAACGTATTTCTTGACAGCGAAATTCATGGACATCAAAGTAGACAGTGTTGTGGAAAACTGATAAAGTTTGATTAACCTCCATGTGAGATATCAAATTGTCGCAATCAAGATGACAAGAAGAGAGAATAAGGAAACATCAACAGTGTAAAACTGGAAGAGAAACAAGTTGATAAGGAAGAACGAGAATAAAAAATAGAAACGATTGCTCGATTGTTGAAGAAAAGAAAATGATTGACTGAAGATTGAATATCAAAAAATTCAGCTCATATTTGGAAAAATTGAAAATCAATTCTAATTTAGAATCTATAAAGTATTGATTATAAATAATTACGGAATTGTTAATAAAAAGGATTGAAAAAAAGCTAAAAAGGAAAAAAAAATTTCTCCCGCGAAATTTGAAAGATCGATTTTTTTGTGAATTTCGATCCATCAAAAACTAAGAACGGAACTTCTGTGAGAGGAGCATTTTGCACCATAATTTCTTCATCTTTTCTCTAAAAATTTTTCTCGTCAATTTAATAAACTCGTTACAATTGTAAATTGAAGAATAACAACTTTAATAGAACAACAAATGGATTTTTGAAAATTTGATTTTCTTCTCTCTTGAAAATCCTTTCGGTTCATGATTAATTCACAGCATAGTTGTTTATGTATATCATTTTCTGGTCTTATTTACAATTAAATGTCGATTATCATTTAATACCTTAGTCTAATTATTTACACTTTCGTTCGATCAAATTTTTGATTGTTCGTCGTTTAGAAGAGACCAGAGAAAGAGAAAACCAATCTTATAGATTAATAGCAGGATCTTTGTGGATTCTTTCAAATTTCGGAATCAGCAGAAGAATAAGAGCTAGAAGAAGAAGAAGAAGAAGAAGAAGAAGAAGAAATTTCATCATCCGTTTCGCAAAGACTATTTTTCTTGATTTCTTCAGCTTTTCGCTGTTGTTTAATCAATCTTTCAATAGTTCGTCGTTTAGCCGAAACCAGTCTGTGAGAGAACCAATCCTCTAGATTAATAGCCGGGTCTTTGGAAACTTTGTCAAGTAAATGATCAGGATTCTGGAAATAATCAACAATGAATGAATTAATTTAGGTTGCAAACAAGAAAAAGTTAATTCAACTTTAAAATTAACTTACTCTTAGGAAATTCTCAATGCATTGTAGTACATAGAGACCTGAGTCGAAGTCATTGTTTTGCTTAGGCACCTTGAGATAAATATCAGGCATTACACTTCTACTAAAACTTTTCTTTGTCGTTTTCTTTGACTCCCATTCCTTAGCTAGAAAGTGTCGTAATGGTGCAGCTAATCCACATCTACTATGAGCACTTTGCGTCGAGTCCATGAAAAGTATACGAGGCCTAAAAAGATCCGAAATTTCAGGATAAGATATCATTGAATTAGACATGAATTTCAAAACTGTTGATGAATAAAATAAATCTAATACCTTTTAGCACTTTTCTCATTGAATGCAACTTCGTCCAGGAGAGAACTTTTCTTGGATAACAAATGATTGCCAGAAACCAATGACAGGATTTATGAATTGGTATAATTAGAAAGTCCTTTTCGAAAATGTTCACATTTTTTGTCCAATTCTTTACTCTATTGTAGTATCTATCAGAAAGCCTGAAAATATTGGAGAGTGGATAGATTAAAATTGGATAGAAAAATGAAGAATGAACAATTTTTAAGCACGATAACACAAATGACAGAGTTGCTGAAATTAATTATCATTTAAGCTACCGTTAAAATAGCGAACCTTCAAAGAAAAGACTCGATCAACAGTAAATACATGTAAGTCAACAAGTATAAGAGTTTAAATCGTACGTACGATTTTTTGCCCTGCGTTCCAACCTCCGATGATCGAGGTTTATGGGTGAGCTTGTAGTAAAAAGATGAACTGAAAATGTAGCATCTTTCGGCGATATCTGGGGATGTCAAGTCTTTTTCAATATACCTATGAATCGAAGATAATGTGATGAGCATTAGTAAAAGATTAAGCCTATGATTAATGTTCAACGATAACAATGGCTTACTTAAGATAGAAACCCAGGATTGCATCATTTATTTGTTGCCCTTCCTCCAAACAAGCGAGATCCGACTGACGAATTGAGATATGTTCAACTTCGTAAATGGGAATAGGTGGATAACTAAAGAGACGATCGTCACTAGATAAAGAGAGGATTATTATATAAATTATTAATACACAATAAGAGCGATCACCAAAAAGCTAACAAAACTCATCACCGCTCAATTGTGATCTAGAATAAATTACCAATTTGATACTGCGGCATTTGAGTTTCCAATTTCATCTTCACTGTTCATCACAACAATGGAGGTCGTTTCATCTATTTTCGAATTCGAGGTCTTCTTTTTACTCTTAGCCAATTTAGGAGGAAAAGGTGATTTAAAAGTGGATGAAGACGTTGAAGATTTTGCTGTCGGTTGTTGAGAAGAGTTATTTAATAAATCGAAGTATTGATGAGCACTAACAGATAGATTTCTATCAAGTTTCCAAGTGACAGTATTAAAGATGGCGAAATACTCTTCCAATATATTTCGAATTTCTTCATTCTTTCCGTTCAATTGCACTGCCACACGAATGGTTCCTTCTGTCACAATTAGAATCAAAAAACGTATAAAGTGGTAAGAAGGTAAGTAGCTTTAGATATGTTTAGGGAAAGAACAATTAAAACTAAGTATTTATTATCTACTATCAAGTCTATGAGATTCGTAGAGTGAATAAGAATTGAATAACGAAGAATAATGAAACAGATACATACCCATGTGATCACTTTGATTCCGTTGTATTTTCAATGCTTCGCATATTTTGAAACTCGAACTTGGAACGGTTTCTATGATCAGGGTTGACAAATTTTCACCAGTTTTCCTATCAAAATAGAGTTTTTGAATATCAATTGGAGAAATGGTAATAGCCAAACTCGGTCTTTCTGGTGCAGATACTTGAACAAACTTAATACCTTTTGAGATTAAATGAATCTCTTTACAGGTGAATTTATGAACACCAAAGTAGACAAAGTTGTTGTGAACTGATAAAGTTTGATTAGACTCCATGTTAAAAACTGAATTGTCGTAATTTGTACTTGAAACATTCGTTTTTCGTGTTGATGATTGTTGAGAATGATTGTTCAAGAAATCAAGGTATTTATGGACACTTCGCGATAGGGCTCTCTCAAGTTTCCAATTCACTTGGCTAAAGACGGCAAAATATTCTTCCAATATTTTGTAAATTTCTTCACCTTGTCCGTTAAATTGAACAAGAACACGAATCGATCCTCTTAGTTCAACTGAGAAGAAAAAAAACAGAGTAGAAAATTAGTATAACAAAGCGATGAGATAAAAGATAGCACAAACAAAAGAAAAGCTAAAACCACTTCAGATAAATTATATCCCGAGAATTGTATTACAATTAAGGGGAAGACAAAAAAATGAGCAGTTAATTGCTAAATGGGCGTAAACATACGAGACATTAATTGTGATAGAAAAAAAAACAAAAGTCAAGTGGGAAGTGACAGTTCACCGAGATAAACTGTGGTGGAACAAAAATTAGATAATAACCAAAATATCACTTTGGTGATATTAATAAGAGAAATACCTGAATTAGCAGATCGATTAAGTTTTAATATTTCACATATTCGAATCCCAGATTCAGGAACAGTTTCTGTGATCAGGGTTGACAAATTGTCTCCAGTTTTACTGTCAAAATAGGCTTTTTTTATATCAATTGGTGGAATGGTGACATTGAAAAAAGACTTTTCTTGGATTTGACACACTTGGGAAAACTTAATGCCCGCTGGAAGCAAACGTATTTCTTGACAGCGAAATTCATGGACATCAAAGTAGACAGTGTTGTGGAAAACTGATAAAGTTTGATTAACCTCCATGTGAGATATCAAATTGTCGCAATCAAGATGACAAGAAGAGAATAAGGAAACATCAACAGTGTAAAACTGGAAGAGAAACAAGTTGATAAGTAAGAACGAGAATAAAAAATAGAAACGATTGCTCGATTGTTGAAGAAAAGAAAATGATTGACTGAAGATTGAATATCAAAAAATTCAGCTCATATTTGGAAAAATTGAAAATCAATTCTAATTTAGAATCTATAAAGTATTGATTATAAATAATTACGGAATTGTTAATAAAAAGGATTGAAAAAAAGCTAAAAAGGAAAAAAAAATTTCTCCCGCGAAATTTGAAAGATCGATTTTTTTGTGAATTTCGATCCATCAAAAACTAAGAACGGAACTTCTGTGAGAGGAGCATTTTGCACCATAATTTCTTCATCTTTTCTCTAAAAATTTTTCTCGTCAATTTAATAAACTCGTTACAATTGTAAATTGAAGAATAACAACTTTAATAGAACAACAAATGAATTTTTGAAAATTTGATTTTCTTCTCTCTTGAAAATCCTTTCGGTTCATGATTAATTCACAGCATAGTTGTTTATGTATATCATTTTCTGGTCTTATTTACAATTAAATGTCGATTATCATTTAATACCTTAGTCTAATTATTTACACTTTCGTTCGATCAAATTTTTGATTGTTCGTCGTTTAGAAGAGACCAGAGAAAGAGAAAACCAATCTTATAGATTAATAGCAGGATCTTTGTAGATTCTTTCAAATTTCGGAATCAGCAGAAGAATAAGAGCTAGAAGAAGAAGAAGAAATTTCATCATCCGTTTCGCAAAGACTATTTTTCTTGATTTCTTCAGCTTTTCGCTGTTGTTTAATCAATCTTTCAATAGTTCGTCGTTTAGCCGAAACCAGTCTGTGAGAGAACCAATCCTCTAGATTAATAGCCGGGTCTTTGGAAACTTTGTCAAGTAAATGATCAGGATTCTGGAAACGATCAAGAATAAACAAAATGAATCAAATTTTTTGAAACAAGAAAAAGTTGACATAACCTTCAAATTAACTTACTATGAGGAAATTCTCGATACATTGTAATACAAAAAATCCAGAGTCGAAGTCGTTAATTTGCTTAGGCACCTTGAGATAAATATCAGGCATTACACTTTTACTGAAGTTTTTATTTGACATTTGAAGGTATTCCCATTCTTTAGTTAGAAAGTGTCTTATTGGTTCAGAAAATTCAAGCTCGCTATTAACTATTTGAGCTGAGTCCATGAAAAGTATACAAGGTCTGGAGAGAAAAAAATTTCAATAGGATTAGATATGAATGTCTCATTGAAGAGATTATGAAATCAATCTAATCTCAATACCTTTTGGGACTTTTTTCCATTTCATTAGGTAGAATCTCATTCATCGATGGCACTTTTCTTGGATAACATATGATTACCAAAAACCAATGACCAGATTTGTTAATTGGCATGATTATAAAATCTTTATGGAAGATATTGACATTTTTAGTCCAAGTTTTCACTCCTTTGTAGCATCGATCATAAATTCTGCTTAGATTTGTGAGAGAAAATATAAAATTACATGGAAAATTATTAAAGGTGTAAGATAATTGCTAATCATTAGATGACACAAAAGGATATCCGCTCGTACAATTTGTTATCCTGAGTTTGAGCCTTTCGCTTTCTTTGGGTGAGCTTGTGATAGAAAAATACACTAAATATGTAGCTTCTTTGGGCGATGTCTGATGCTGTTAAGTTTCTCTCGATGTACCTGTGAAAAGAGGAGAAACAAGATGAACATTAGTGATTCGAACGGAGGCTTTGATTGAGAATTGAAAGATAATTAGCACTCACTTGAGATAGAAACCTAAGATTGTTTCATTTACATGTTGTTCTTCGTCCAAACAAGAAAGATCCGATTGGCGAATTGAGATACGTTCAGTTCCATCGGGTGGATATCTGAAGAGAAGATCATCACTGGAAAAAAGAATTATAAAAATGACAATTAAGAATAAGCTTTAAAGCTAAGTTAAGTTAGAGTTAAGATAATCACTTAGTTGATGTCGAGCCTTTTAAGCGACACTGGTTTTCAACAGGGTCATCACAATCGATTTCAATGATGGAACTGGTTGATTTTGGTTTTGAAACATTCGACCGCAGTGTTGATGATGATCGTTGAGAATAATTGTTAATAAAATCTAAGTATTCCTCGACTCTTCGACACGGAGTTATCTCAAGTCTCCATATTAGTGAATCAAAGGAGGAAAAACTGTCTTCAAATAAGAATTCAAGGTCTCCCTTTTCATCGTATAATCGAACACCAACAAGAATGGTTCCTTCTAATTACAGTATTGAGAAGCACAAAGTATCAGAAAAAATATAAGAAAATAAGAGAAAAATCAGAGAAGATCAATTAATTACCTGTGTAATCACTTTGTTTCGGGTCTATTTTTAGCGTTTCTCTAATTATAATTGCAGATTCAGGAACAATTTCCAAGACCAGGATTGAAAAATAATCATCACTTTCATAGTCAAAATAAGCTCGATGTATATGTGTTAGTGGAATGGTGATGTTAGAACGAGATCCTTCTGATGAAGACAATTGAAAAAACTGAATACGTTCTGAAATTAAACAAAATTGATCACAGAGAAATCCATGAACACCAAAGTAGACAGAATTGTAGTAACTAGATAAATTTAAACGAAAATCTGACATGATGTTTTCGCATTTAAGATGACAACAGAAAAAAAAACGAATAAGAAACAATTACATTGTAATACAATGTAGTTGAAACAGAAAGAGATCTGGAATCAAGAAAGAGTAGCAAAAGCTAATCGATTTTTGAAGAAGAAAAATCGGAAGAGATCGACGTTCAAAATATCGATTCAATTTATTAATAATAAAGAGTTAGAACGGAACATCTCAATATTTCGTCAATAACAAAATGTATCGAATTTAAATTAGACACTGAGTTGAAAAGGTCAGTTTTGTTCATGTGAAAGTGTCAAAGTAAATCACTTTTGTACCGAATACTTAATAGAAATTGTAAGCAGTTTAGCTCTTAATTAATGGTGGATTAATATCTTAGATTAACTTTTTCATTGTTTCTTTTGCTGTAAAAATTAAATAGCAAGATTATAATTAAATTACGATATCGATTAACCATCTTCATTGATTAATTCATCTTAATCAATTGGTACGAAATTATCACACGAAAGTTAATATAAATGGTGCAAAGGTTTTTCTAAAATTGTCAGTGAGTTAATTATGAAAATTTCCCCGATTGATGAAATTTTGATACTCTGTTCGAGTGCAATTGATCCGAAATTAGTTAGAAGAAAATCAATTATCAACTATCATCAGTTTCCATCGTTTCACACTCATTTTTCTTATTCTCGCCTGATTTTCGCTTTCGCTTGATAAAACTTTCAAGTGTTCGTCGCTTAGAAGAGATCAGTGCCTGAGAGAACCAATCTCTAAGATCAATAGAAGTATCTTTGTGGATTCTTTCGAGTAAATCATCAGGGTCCTGGAAATAATCGAATAAACAAAATGAATTAATTTGAGTTGTCGAAAAGAAAAAGTTAACTCAACTTTCATATTAACTTACTCTCAAGAAACTTTCAATATATTGTAGTACATAAAGTCCAGAGTCAAAGTCATTGTTTTGCTTAGGAACCTTGAGATAAATATCAGGAATTGAAATTTTACTAAAACTTTTCTTTGCCATTTTCATGGATTCCCATTCCTTGATCAGAAAGTGCCTGATTGGTGACGTACATCCCTTTCTACACTCATTTCCTTGCAGTGAATCCATGATCAGCATGCATGGTCTAAATAGAGAAAAATTTTAAGAGGATCAGAGATGAATTTCAGACGAATTTGATGTAATTAAACAATTACATTTTTCTTTTCCTTTCAATCGAGCCAACGAATGGAACTTTTCTTGGATAACATATGATTACCACGCACCAATGACAGTTCTTTTTGTTAACTGGAATAATTAGAAAGTCTTTTTGGAAGATGTTAATATCTTTCGTCCAATTCTTTACTCTATTGTAGTATCTATCAGAAGGCCTGGATAAATTTGTAAGAGAATTGATAAAATTAAACAAAGTCTCAAAGATTATCAATTCTGATTAGACGAGAAAAAGTTATTGAAGTTAATTATAATCTGATTGACTGTTGACTATTGGCAGATAAGAACCATCACTTGACCAACAGTCTCAAAATTTAGGTTGCACGTACGTTTGACAGTCCAAAGTTTCAACCTCGTTTGCTTGAAGTCTATGAGTGAGCTTATGGTAGAAAAATGGACTAAATATGTAACTTCTTTCGGCAATGTTTGGAGCTATCACGTCCTTTTCGATGTATCTGCAAGAGAGAGAGAGAGAGAGAGAGAGAGAGAGAGAGAGAGAGAGAGAGAGAGAGAGAGAGAGAGAGAGAGATGACATTGGTGCTTGAAATAATTGAAGTTTCCAGTATTGGAAATTACTTACTTAAGATAGAAATCTAAGACTGTATGATTTAGAGACTGTCCTTCCTCCAAACAAGCGAGATCTGATTGACGGGCTGGGGAATGATAGTCACTAAGTAATGAAGAAAATTACATGTATTAAAATAATAATCAAGAATGATCTCTAGAACTCATCGTAGATTAAACGCAGCTTAGAGTAAATCACCTATTCGGGCTCGTTAAGTTACGATCAGTGGCATTTTCAGCACCACTATTTATTTTGCGCCAAGTAATAGTTGTCGTTTCATTTAAATTTGATATTATTGATTCGGTCTTGAGCCCAATCTGAACAGGAATTTTTTTAGATGCAAGAGGTGATCCAAAGGTTGATGATGATGTTGTTGTTGGTTGTCGAGAATAATTGTTTAAGAAATCAAAATATTGATGAACACTTAGAGATAAGGTTCTGTCAAGTTTCCAAGTGACAGAATTAAAGATGGCAAAATATTCTTCCAATATTTTCTGCATTTCTTCACTTTTTCCCTTCAATTGTACTGCGATACGAATGGTTCCTTCTAATTGTAAATTGGACAAGAAACAATCAACAGGGAAATAAAAGAAAAGATTAAATTATCAAAGCTAAATTATAATTCAATAGTGTATTAGATTCATAGAGTGAATATGAATTAAACAAGAAGTGATGGAAAGTTGCAGAACGAAGCATACCCATGAGTTCACATTGATTCGCTTTTATTTTTAATGCTTCGCATATTTTGAAACTCGAACTTGGAACAGTTTCTACGATCAAGGTTAACAATTCGGTTCTATTATCGAAATAGGCTCGTTGTATATCAATGGGTGGAATGGTCATAACAAAATCTGGTCTTCCTGGTGAGGAAACTCGAACAAACTTAATGCCAGCTGAGATTAAACAAATTTCTTTACAGGAGAATCTATGAACACCAAAGTAGACAGAATCGTTGTGAACTGATAAAGTTTGATTAACCTCCATGTTAAACACTGAATTGTCGTAATTTGGACTTGAAACATTCGTTTTTCGTGTTGATGATTGTTGAGAATGATTGTTTAAGAAATCAAGGTATTTATGGACACTTCGCGATAAAACTTTCTGAAGTTTCCAAGTCAATAAAGTATAGCACGAAAAATATTCATCCAATATTTTGTAAATTTCTTCACCTTGTCCGCTAAATTGAACAAGAACACGAATGGATCCTTCTAATTAATTGAGAAAAGAACACAAAGTAGAAAATTAGTACAAAAAATAGTCAAAAAGTTTGGTAACAACCTTTGAAGATGATCAAAGTGAGTGAGAGAGAGAGACAAATACTTACCTTGAGTGTTTTCATGGGCTTGATTAGGTTTTATCTGTAATGCTTTGCATATCTTAATTCCAGATTCAGGAATAGTTTCCGTGATCAGGGTTGACAAATTGTCACCAGTTTTACTGTCAAAATAAGCTCGTTGCACATCATTTGGTGGAATGGCAACATCGGAAAATGAGAAATCTTCTAGTCTTAATACTTGGATGAACTTAATTCCTCTAGGGGTTAAACAGACTTCTTTACAGGTGAATTTATGAACACCAAAGTAGACAGAATTCTTGTAAACTGTTAAAAGTTGACCGTCCATGTGAGACATCAAATTGACAAAGACAAAAAAGAGAATTTGAAACAATCAAAAGTAATAAAAAACAGATAAGAACGATGAAGACTTATAGAGAGATCTAAACAATACAAATATTGTAGCAAAAAGTTTTCACTATAAACCAGAAATTCTGGTCCAGAACTTTATCTAAAACTTTTTCGTTCCAATTTGTCAACAAAAAGTAAACACTTGACTTAAGTGACTGAACCAATAAGCAGTTCGCTTTTCTCTCCCGCGAAACTTAAAATCGAATAATCGATTTTTTTGTGTGAATTTTGATTCTTTGAAAAATCTATGAACGGAATATGAGAGAAAAAACTTTTCCATTTTCCCGTTTCTTTAAATGACACCTAAAATAAATTTCGATTGATTAATAATTTTAATAGAATGTTAATTTTTGACCAACAATTAAGTTGCCATCATAGTGATTAGCAATTTAACTTGCCAACTTAATTGGTTTCTGGACAATTGGGTTTTAATTCTGAGAAATTGAATCAAACACATTAACTATTCAATAACAGCTACTGGGTGACAAATAATATGTTGTTTTTTTGAGTATGGCGTTTAAATCTAAATACTAACTTACAATAACTTTTTTTTCTGCTTATTTTTACAGTAATTAGTTGAAGTTTTTTTATATATAAAATTTTCGAAAATTGGACATTCTATCGAAAAGTTACAGAGGGTTTCATAAAATAACAAAAAGTGCGATTAGATGATTACTATTTAGTGTATAATCTATTTCAGGGTGTCATAATACGCTAAATAGAAGTATCTATCGTTATTGATCTCAATTTTTTACTTAAAGTTCCGAGAAAATGAGTTATCAGCTAATTAAGTGCTCAATTTGCTTAAATTTCAGGTTTTTTTCATGATTTTAACTATCAAATATTATTCGCTGGCCACCTTTGGAGCCTTGAGGCACTCACCCTGTAGATTGAAAATAATTTTGAAAGGAAGGATATCTAACTTGCAAGTCTAGTGCTTAATTCGTTACTAAAATTATTAGGTTGGAATCAAAGATAAAGAAGTTACAGGGTATTTAAAAAAAACAAGGTATTATTTGTCACCCAGTATTACAATCTTTTCATTGTTTCTTTTGTTGTAACAATTAAATAACAAGATTATAATTAAATTTTGGATTAACCATGATACTGATAATTGATTCATCTTAATCAACTAGTACGAAATTTCTAAACAAAATGTGAAATAAAGGACGTAGCATTTAGCAAGTTAAAAACGGGAGCTGATAATGTAGCTTAATCTTACCTGAAAATGAAGATAAAGCTGATGATTAGATAATGAAGATGGACAAAAATACCTATGTGGTAATATCTTCATTTTCAGGTAAGATTAAGCTTAACACTTTAAATAGAGTGAAATTTTTTTAAAATTATATGTTTAAATGCAAATTACAATTGGGATTCGTGATTTGGATTGTTATATCTCTCCATATTTTCCCGAATTGATGTTATCTCAACTACGTTGATCATGGAGTTTTCCATGGTTAATTACTGAAAATTTTACGTTGAATAATTGGAATTTAATTAGCTGGGAGAGAATCAGTTATCAACCATCGTCATCAGTTTTCATCATTGAACTCCATTCTTCTTTTTCTCAGCTAC